GCAACGATTTAGATATCCATGATAGGAAAGATAATTTCTTGGAATGTTAGGATGCTGAGCGATAGGAAGAAAAGAGAGGTTATCAAAAGGTGCATCAGAAGGTGGAGACCAGATGTTGTTTGTTTCTAGGAGACTAAAGTGGAGGAAATTGATTTGCAAACTATTAAAAGTTTGTGGAAAGAATGCAAGATCGAATGGGTTTTTTACCTGTTGTTGGATCTGCTGGGGGTATTCTTATTATGTGGGATGGAGAAAAATATTGCTATATGGGGGTGGAGAAAGGGAGGGTTTCTTTATCCATTAAGCTTGAACGTTTTGGGGGTGGAGAAAGGGAGGGTTTCTTTATCCATTAAGCTTGAACGTTTTGGGGGTGGAGAAAGGGAGGGTTTCTTTATCCATTAAGCTTGAACGTTTTGGGGGTGGTGATGGACGGGTGTTTTCGGGTATCTATTGTAGGGGGAATAAGGAGGAAAGGGAGATGTTGTGGAAGGATCTGCATTGCTGTGGATCCAGATGGAGGGAGAGATGGGTCATTGGTAGGGATTTCAACATGTTCCTCCATTCTAACCAAAGGTCGGGGGAGGAAACTACTATTTCTGAAATTTAGAATTTTAGCGAGGGGGTGGATAAATTCAACTTGGTGGATTTTCCTTTGTTGGGAGGTGGACTTGGTCTAATTCGAGGGAGCAGCCTTCATGGTCAAGAATTGACTGGTTTTTTATCTCCAACGATTTATTAAGGCAGCTTGCAGAGTTAAGTACGAAAGTGTTAAATTTCGAACCATTTCCCCATATGCTTAATTCTGAATGGCATTATTTGGGAGCCCGGACGGTTTTGGTTAGATAATAAGTGGCTGAGGGTGGATGCTTTCAAAGAATTGGTGTCTAATACCTGGTAGCAGTCAAGTGTGAAGGGTACAACCAGTTTTTAGTTTGCTCATAAATTAAAGGTTTTGAAAAATAAAATTAAAGATTGGACCAAATGTGAGGTGGACAAAATGGAGAGGACAATCAGTAACAATTTAAAGGAAATTGAGTTGCTAAACCTGAAAGAAATGGAGAGGAATTTAGGGGAGGGAGATAGGGAGAAAAAGGAGTATATTAAAAAAGATTTAGCTATAAACCTGCATTTGGAAACTATCTCGTGGAGACAAAAAGTTAGGGAGAAGTGGTTAAGTGATGGGGATAGAAATACAAGATATTTCCATAGTATGACAAATTATAGAAGAAAAAATAACTATGTGGAA